GTGTATTGATAAATATTTAGAAACTGCAGTACGCAGTACAGACAGTGCAGTACATATTTTGATATTAAGGTTCGGTATGATGACTTTAAAATACATTTTCTATCATTCAGGTAAATTAAAACGCTGTAGAGTAGATTTATAAAAATTTAAGTACACCCAGTACGCTGTAAAGTACATATATATATAAGTACACCAGTACGCTGTAAAGTACATATATATATATAAGTACTTTGCATGTCTGTTTTTTTGTTTGTTTGTTTGTCCTCAAAACGGCTGAACCGCCTTTTGAGAATTTAAACAGAAAAATCTGAAAAATTTATTTTTTGCAAAAAAAAGGTCACTTAAGACAGGTCTGTACGAGGGGGAGGGGCACAGGGTGAATGTGCCCCCATAAGGTCTCATTTATGGAATGATTTTTTATGATTTAGGGAAAAAATGAAAATAAGATGTTTTTAAAGGCAACTTAATTAATCCTTTTTAAATATTTCTTAAACAAAAATTCAGCAAGTAAAACTCTGAACATTTTATGGTGCTCCGCGCAAACAAAAATGACTTCTGCGAAAAAATTACTTTTGGTAATCAAAAAAGAAAAGAAAAATTGGAAATCAAAAGGCAAGTTTTCAACCCTTTTCAATTCTTTTTTTTTCTCAAAATTTCAGCAATTAAAACTCTAAAATTTGTTTTGATATTCCACGCAAACAAAACCTAACTTTTGTAAAAAAAATATTTTTTTTTTATTAAAAGGCATGTTTATATCCTTTTTATAATAGTTCATACCCAGATTTTCATTAAATAAAACCCTACACATTTTTAAAAGGGGGAAAGTTTTTTCAAGAAGAGAACTACAAGCCACAAACTCAAATTTTCTAATCCCTATTTCTTTGAAACCGGATATATGTTGTAAACCTTATTTCAAACTTTTCTTAGTTCATAGAATTCATAGTTTAAAATATAAAAGATCTACGACATCTGGTTGCATAGATATAGGGATTATAAGTTTAGAGTTTTGGCAAAATCTCATGCATTTCCTTTACAACTCTGATATGTAATCAACAAATATATGTTCTAACGACCAAGCAAAGACTAAGTATAAAGAGCAGGCGGCCATGAGCCACAACATTTTCCCCTTCCATGCCACATATTATCTTTTTTGTCTTCCAACAGCCATGGGACTCTACCGCAGGATCTTTCATGCCACAGCATTTGAGTCTTCCGGCAGTTAGTACGATTTTAAATGATAATTTGAGATTATTTAAATTGTAATTTTTAAAAATCCTGCCGCATTACGGGAAAGATCATACCTTTAAGAAATTTTACAACTTTATGAGTATGGTAAGTTGCATATTTTTATTGTTCATAATGTTTTAAAAAATAAGCAATTTTAAAGGAAAGATTGAATAGAATACTTTATAGGATTAAACTTAAAGAATGAGCTACGACAGCTCAGATTTACAGGAATTTTCATTTGTCACTGTAGCATTTATTAGTTTAATTAGAATAATTTAACCGTCAGATTGTGGTTAATTAAAAAAAGTGATAATAATAAAATTGTCTTTTGTTTTTGAAAATAAATTAGGCGCTAAGTCTGTATGAAATTATGAATGTATTCTATCTATCTCAAAAATAAACGAGGAATTTCAAATTTTGAAATCTCTAAATTTGGTAAATATGCTGTCATTAGTTTTAAGTATATTTTCAGTATTAATTTACATGTTTATTGAGACACTCAGTAATTAAAATATTACTCCAGGTCGTCATTCTTTTTAAGGTCTCATTCTTTTTCAGGTCTCATTCTTTTTCAGGTCTCAATCTTTTTCAGGTCTCATTCTTTTTCAGGTCATTCTTTTTCAGGTCTCATTCTTTTTCAGGTCTCATTCTTTTTCTGCGTAAAGGAATCTAGTGAAAAATACATTTAAANAAATATTGTTTATTTGACATTATACAGAGCAGAAACAAAATTCACAAACTGAAGAGTGTCAACTCAGACCGAAATGTATTTAAGAAAGGCAAATGTAGAATGTTTGTAGAGAAACCGTAATTAAAAATAATAAATTGTCAGATAAAAAAACAAGGTTTTAAGGGTACCATTGTGAACCGTACAATGCTACTCTTTTTCTTATTGAAAGGTCACTTAAACCAAGGAAAACAGTCCCTTTAATTACATAATATATAAGTTAAAAAGAACCTGCATGTTCAACGTGTAGTTTATTCACTGTACAACGAAGAACTGATGAATTAAATAAATATAATCCTCTTCATTGTTTTTTCTTTGCCCGACAATTAAATATTTAAATAATTTATAAACCACTTATCTCCTGCACTTCCTTTAATACGTTTATTCATCCTTTCTTTTACATAACTCTTCCTGGAACCTCAAGGGCGCAACTAAAGGGGGGTATTGGAGGGGGGATCCAGATTAGACAATCGAATCTATAAATGTTGTGCGCGTACTGCAGTGATCATGCATTACTCGGACCCAAGGTTCTAATGCAAGGAAAGTTATTTCAGAGTTGTACGTATTTTTTATACTGCAGTGTACTGTCTCTGGGCGGTAATGTAAACACAAGACGGATGTCACAGCCTGACATGGAATCCATTTTCACAAAAATAGTTTTATCTGGGAAGATTAGACACTTAAATAAATAATATTGAAAGGACGAGGATTTCGAGGTGGCTTGGACGAGAAAATGAGGAGAATGTGGCTCGGACGAGAAATTCAGCTATTCCAAGATTTGTTGAGAAAAAAAATCTTTAACTAAAAGCTATTTTCTACCCGATATTAGATTGTAAAAAAGAAACAAATATTATTTTTGTTGAGGATACTATAGATGGACTACCGTGCTTAAATAATCAAATTAGTCCCGTTTAAAATAGAAATTGACGATTAAAAATGAAAGATCATTCCCGGTCCCGGAAGACTGTTTGGGAGAGTTTCGGAAGTCCTATGAGGACGCGCACTGCCGCAAATAGGTAAAATGAAGTTCGGAAGTTGTGTGGGGGAGGTTGCCTTCCCTCCCTAGACATACTAGATCATTAGCTTCATCAATTTAAAAACCACCATACTTCAGATCTGTTATCCCTCATTAAAACATAAGCTTATAGACTTTAAATTAATAAATGTGAGAAACCTGACCCCCTTCAGAATTAATATGTTAGACTTAGGCACACATTTGACAGTTTTTAATGGATTACAGGCTTAAAACCTAATTATTCTTTTTTTCTGGAACACCTTGATTCATTTTTCTTTTTTATCTATCCATATAATTATTGGGAGGCTCCTCCTTAACCTTGCCTTAACATTCCCCTGCTGCGCGTCTTTTGTTTCTAAATCAGAATTTTTTGTACCTAAATTAATCTTGCACCCCCCTAACTTAAATCCTGTATCCGCCCCTGTTAAAGATTGCAAATACAGGTTCACCTTCAAAGCAATGCTTAGAATCCGGATACCCGGATACTTACTCTCAAAACCCAAATCTGAACCGTTGAAAAAAGAGAGATTATAAAAATTTCCTCATAACTGAATGGTTCATCAAGTTTAAGCATAAAAATAAACGAAAAAAAAGATAGATAATTGGAAAATTTTGCTTTGTTAAATTTTTTAGTAAATTTTAAAGAACTGTTCATGAGTTCCTGGATCCAGTGGGGATCTAGGATCCTGGATCCGGTGGGGATCTAGGATCCGCATCAAAATTAAATGGATCCTAAACACTTGTCAAAGATTTAGAGAAGTGTACAGATTTTATTAGGTCTTATTTCAGGCATTTGTTGTTCTTTTAATGGCTAGTACAGTTTCTTTTTTTGAGAGTGACCCTTTAAAAAATCTTTTCCAGTGTTTTTAATGATGAGATTTAACCTTTGCGTAGATTATTTTTTTCTCAAGATCAGAACTAAAAAGTTTGAACAACATCCAACATTACTAAATAGAAGAATTTAAACTTTCTTACACTGAGGCTCCTCTTTAAGGATTTTTCATTTATTCCAAAGATACAAAGTTTTCACAATAAATATCTAAAGCTTTCACGATAATGCGAATAATTGATTAGTTCGACTTTGTAATAAAATGCAGGGTTACCCATAAAGACTTCAGAGACGACTGTACGGAATTTATTGAGTATTTTTTCTTGTTTTCTTAGTTTCTTCCAACTGTGAACTTGTTCAATTCCTTGCAAAAATAAAATAGTTGCGTTTTTTTTACTGAAGACCAAATAGATCGATACATTTAAATGTTTTAGGTCGTCCTTGAAGTCTCATTCTTTGTGAGACAAACAAACTAATAATTGTGTAGTTCAAAAAAATTCTAAAAAATTAAAGTTTACACAGCAAGAATGCTTTTTTTGCGCTGCCATAATTTCCAGAAATATTGAGAATTTTGTTCAGATTTCAATTTATTAAATAAAACTAAGATTGTCGAAATCTTAACAAAATTAATCATATCCACAGGACTATTGAGTGCACAAAAAAAAGCAGACGCCATTTTGGAAATGCCATGACTAGGGTTTTTAGGTAATTGTTTCAAGAATAATGCATGTGAAAGGAGGTTGACGACTGAATGTCTCCAATAAATTCAAAGTTTAGAGACGACTTACAAATTATCTGGCTAATGTCATGTTTCCTGAGACACCCTATAATAAACTCTTTTTATGCATTCTTGCTTTACAAAACTGCTTCATATTTCATATAACTCTAGATTTGTTTTTCAAAGATTGGTTTATAAAAAAAATGCTGTAAATTATTTCAAAGATCGAAGACGACCTTCAAAGTCGTCTAGCTACTGTCATTTTTCATGGGACACCCAGTATGTTCCATCACTAATTATATATAGATAGCGGAATGCGTTACATCACTAATTACATATAGATATATATAGATAGCGGGATGCATAGTTTCGCTGCTTGAAGTATACAGGCCCAAGGAAATCCAAATATATCATAAGCATAAGTTTCAGACGCTGTGAATATAAATCTACTGCAATTGTAATAATTTATATGTTAGTTATACTATAGGCATGGATTAACGGTTTGACCAAATGCCCTAACATTTGTTTAGGGAACCCATGGGCATCCCGGGGATAACATAGGTTTAACAGATCTAATTTTTTCATAGATGGAAATAATATTTTTTTCCTTCAATTTAAAAAATATTCCCTGGGCACCTCAGCTAGTATATTTATTATCTAAATCTGAAATATTTACCAGGCACCTCAGCTAGTATATTTATTATCTAAATCTAAAAATATTCTACAAATAATCAAATCCCTGGAGAATCCAAATCTAAAAATATCTGATTCTGAAAAATTTTCTATAAAATCACAAATGTTAGATCTTATTTAGAATAACGTATTAACTCCCCCCTCCTTTATATATCTTGGAATAATTTAATTTATTTTTGAATGTTACTTTTTCTTAAAACAAAATTTTATTGAGGATTTAACATAATTTTTGAATACAATATTTTAGTTTTTAACCGACAAAAACTTTCCTTGGTTTAACAAAAAGTAATGAACTATAACTACTTTAGCAGTATATATATTTACAGGTTGAGACTGCAGCTGCCTTTATTACCTCCAAGTATAGAAAACGTGGTGCATGAAATCATTTTATGGGGTTGAGGTTTGCATTGTGGTTAGAGCTATAGTTAATTACTAGTATCAAGTATGCAAGTTCAGGAAAAGCAGTAACACAAAGAGAATTACGTAACAATATCCATAAAGTGTATCAATAGTTAATTACTAGTATCAAGTATGCAAGTTCAGGAAAATAGTAACACAAAGAGAATTACGTAACAATATCAAGAAAGTGTATCTATAGTTAATTACTAGTATCAAGTATGCAAGTTCAGGAAAAGAAGTAACACAAAGAGAATTACGTAACAATATCAAGAAAGTGTATCTATAGTTAATTACTAGTATCAAGTATGCAAGTTCAGGAAAATAGTAACACAAAGAGAATTACGTAACAATATCAAGAAAGTGTATCTATAGTTAATTACTAGTATCAAGTATGCAAGTTCAGGAAAAATAGTAACACAAAGAGAATTACGTAACAATATCCATAAAGTGTATCAATAGTTAATTACTAGTATCAAGTATGCAAGTTCAGGAAAATAGTAACACAAAGAGAATTACGTAACAATATCAAGAAAGTGTATCTATAGTTAATTACTAGTATCAAGTATGCAAGTTCAGGAAAATAGTAACACAAAGAGAATTACGTAACAATATCAAGAAAGTGTATCTGTAATTAAATACACAGATCATACAATGTAGAATTAGCAAGACTGAGACTGTTACTTAAAATGAAAGGGGGTACAGGCTGAAGCCTAAAAGCTTTAGGAGTTGATCACGTCCAATATTAGTTCTATCTGATGGCCCTGTCTAGAGAAATTGATATAAAACTGTGTTAGTCATACCCAAACTCATGTACAAGGTGTGATCAATTAGTTTGGCTAAAAAAAATTCGGGATACTTGTAGAAGTCTCAGCCCTGAAATTTTTTTTTTTGAAAGTTCACTATATTTATACCGGAATATTTTTTAGATCAGTTGATGTCAATCAGATCTTTGTAGTATTTGTAATGAGCGTTCTCCCGAAGTGTATCAGCTTCGTTAGTCACAACAAGAAAAATTTCAAAATGGTTCCAACTTGATCCATCAAAGTCTGTTTTAGACCCTTTAAGAGTGATCAAAAGGAAAGAGAGATTAAGTTTTTGATGAACGAAGGACTTTTGAGGAGTTTTCTGACTTTGATTTACATAAGAGATACATAATCAATATCATCCCTTTGGTCCTATGTCAGAGACGTTTGGACAAATTTTGCCCAGATTTTTGTCATTTTCAAATCTTGGTTTACAACTTTGTTTACAATGTAAAGGTACATATCAAACTGACTGGTATACATACTTCTAGAACCCTTGCTAATATGACTTGAACAATTTTCAATATTTTCGATTTTTGAGGTCTTGATGATCTTTTCCTGCCCGGACATGTCATAATCCTTCAAATATTCATTTTTCCCTTCTTGACCCCATTGAACTACCTTTAAAGTTAATAAAATTGTTTAAAAATACGTCCTGGATAATGTTTAAGGGTTTTGGTTTTTGCATCGTCTAATAAAAAAATTTTTAGGTAACCGAGCCACCAAAGTGTCCTCTTTCTGTGGTTAATATTCTAGATAAGATATTTCTATGCTTGACAACGAAGCTAATCCACCTTCAGGAGAACATTCCTTACATCATAAAGCAATCTGCTTGACGCCAACCTAACCAAAAATGTTTTCACGATAAATATAGTAAACATTAAAAAAAATTAAAGAGCTTAGACGTCTAGAAGTACCCCTAAGAAAATGTTAGCGAAACTTATTGATCACAGTGGTAGTAATGGAAAAGTAGTTATACAAGATAGCCAAGAATCTCACATAAGCTCTAAAGAGAAAACTGATCTGCTCTGTTTACATTTTTAGCATTTTTATTTTGTCATGTTTATCATTTTACATAATTTCAAACTGTTTTATTTTATTTTCGAGATCAAAAGTTTTTTCAGGAAAAAGCCAACAAAATACAAAGTAAAATCAACAATTTTTCGTTAAAATATTTTTTCCCCAACACTTTGCCAACAAAAATAGGAACGCTGGCATGCAGCTCAAAGACAAGTTAGAGGTGATTTTTGGATTTTAAAAAAAATGCTATTCTGATCTTAACAGACATCTTCATATATTTTTTTTTCAACCTTAAAGTCTGTTCAGGGAAATTTCATGTTTTTACAGAGTTTTAAACTCTAGTCCCTGAAATACCAGGGTTTTTAAGGCTTACTACTCCAAGTTGGGATTCGGGAACGTTAGGCACAGAGGCAACTGAAATGGTAGTCTTGGAAATGGCTGGAATAACTGAAATGTTAGGCTGGATACTGGTTGGAACTGCTGAAATGTTAGGTTTGGAACGGGTTGGAACTACCGAAATGTCAGGCTGAGAACAGGTTGGAACTACTGAAATGTTAGGCTGAGAATGGGTTGGAACTCCTGAAATGTTAGGTTTGGAATGGGTTGGAACTAATGAAATGTTAGGTTTGGAACGGGTTGGAACTACTGAAATGTCAGGCTGAGAACGGGTTGGAACTCCTGAAATGTTAGGCTGAGACCGTGATATTGCAACTGAAATGACTGGCTGTGAGACACTAAGCGCTCCTGTAGAAGCTGGAGAGAAATGTTGATTACTGTTTCTTAGATTAAAACTAGAAACTGCTCGGTATAAACTTGGTCTTGATGCTTCCAGTTGCTGGGACAAGAACATGCTTAATTCTAAACATTATTATTAAATTTATTCCTAAATGTTTTTTGAAATATTTGTAGGTGTAATTAGTGCAGAAAAAAAGCTAAACGTGCGCTTAAACAAGTGTATTTAGTGTAAATGAAGTGACACTGCAGATATGATTGCTGGAAACGTGATAAAAAGAACCACAGTTCCTAGAAATTAACGGGATCGTAAAATTTATGATATTAGTATCTGGGTTTCTACCAATCATGTTTTGAGCAATCATATCTGCAGCGAAGTATTTTTATAATTCAATTTAAAACTCCTCCTTTTGTCTTCTAATATTTTAGTTAGAACTTCCTTGTTTGCTTGTTTGTTTGTTTGTTTGTTTGTATTCTAGAAACGTGAAAGCGGCTGAACCGATCGGTTTTTTGGACCTAAGATAATCCTAGGAAGGATTTCTGGTCGGTCAAACTTTAAGAATATCGGTCAAACTTTGTTTTATATTCTGACAATCTCTAACTTAACACAGTTAATTATTTTAGAGTTCCTGTCCTGTCACAACATTTTTGAAAAGATCTGAATTTCTAAGATTAATAATAGAATGAATTTTGTTATTTTTGTTAAATGTGCAAAATCACGATCTAGCTATATATATATAACCATATATTTGTCTGGATAAATGTGCAAACTATTTGTTTAGTAAACTTAATGAAAAAATTGAACAGAGAGATTAAGTTCTTTCAGAAAATTCAAATTGATTTTTACATATTTATTTGATAATTGTATAAAAGATATTTTAACTGGGTATATACAAACTAATTCATGCATTTTTGATATTATTTATATTATTGTATGCGCTGCACATGCGCTGCACAGGAGTATTGAGTATATGATTCAAAATGTGACATACAAAATTTTGAGATTTTAAAAACCTGAAAAATCTTAACTCTATAGGATGAGCCAAAAAAAGGGTTAATAGCGAGATTTTGCATTTTATAGAAGCATTTGTTTGGTGATTTAATTTTTGACAAATATGTATGAAATTATTTTATTCCATTTTTTGATAGGCATTCTGATAAACAATTTAAAAAAATACGCAACACTATTGTTCAGATGAGTAGAAAAACAAAAGGATTTTCTGAATTTAATTTTGCGCATTTTCTCCGATATTACTTTTTATTTATCTTTTTTAAGATTTTAAGATGTGATAGAAATAATGTATTCACTCACTTTAGTTTTTCTGCTCAATAAATCTTGACTAAAAGCTAGTTTCGCGGATATTTAAAAAAATTAAAATTTCATACATATTTGTTAAAAATTAGATTATCAAAATAAATGCTTTATTATATGCAAGATCTCGCTATTCACTCTTTTTTACTCACCCTGTTTTTCCATTGGGAAAAATACTACTTTTCTTTAAAGAAATTTGCTGAGGCAAATATAATAAAAAATATTTACTCATAATAGATTATTATTTTATTTCTTAGACGTGCGACATATGTAATTGTTGACACATTTTTAGAAAGCATGTTCTTCAAACTGGTGCAAGTTCAAAATAACAAAAAAAAACATCGAAAGTTCCCAAAAATCAGTAAAAAGTTGAATTTTGGAATTTTCTATTTGTGAGCACAGAAAAGAAAGTGCAGCTCTAGATAAGGTTCAAAAGATTATTTTATAACATCACACGCTTTGAGGTGGAATCTTCCAGGAATTTTAAGAAAAATAGAAAATATCAATGATTTAAAAATTGGATATTTTTCCAAATAAACATCTTCTTAAAATTGTTTTAAAAGATTCGAACTCTAAAGATAAATGGATTAGATAAACTGGGAACCGTGGTAGTTTGAAATACTGCCGTCGAATAGTCCAGGTGTGGGGTACATTTGCATAACCAGCGCCATATTGCGGTCTCGACGCTCTTTTGCCGCACGCTCTTCTCTAAACATGAAAAATCCGGCCACGCCATGAGCAACCTGAAAATCAAATTATTAAAAGAAAAAAATTGTGAAAACACAATTAAACGGGCAAAATGAAATGACATTTGAGACAGAAAGTGAATCATTTTATTTTTAGCCGCCAGCAGAGATAAAAAAGATAAGCAATTCATTTTATATTGCATATCAAAAATTAACATTGAGTAATTAAATTTAAACCAAGAGCTTTTTCAATCTGCTTGCTTTAAAACTTTATATACAAACTTATATCCGAAAATACAAGGGTAAATACAGGGGGGCAGAGGGGTAGTTCCCCATCCTAGACAATGGGTAGGAACCCCCGGCCACCTCCCAAGGCTCATACACCCAACAATTCCGCCAACGCGATGTTTTTTTAGAGGGGGCCATGTTTGTTTTAATCCTGTATACGCCCGTGCTTACTCACCATAGCAAAGCAGGCGAATGCGTAGCTCCAGCTGACGTAGTTGTAGTTAGGGTAGAGCAACCAGCCTCTATCCCAGCAGGATCCACCGAACAGGCAGATCCCGATAAATATCAGTATTGCAACCAAACACTATACATAACCTTTTTATTTTCTTCAAATCAATTTATTTGTCGCAATAGTTTCAGAAGTGGAATTTTGTGTAGAAAGATAATTTTTCTAAATACATATGAAGACGACTTTTTAATTTAAGTTTTGATTGTTAACAAGCTTTTTTCAAATTACAATTATACAAGTACTTAAAGAGAAGCTTTTTTATTGACAACATCTCTTGACTTCTATGTTTATGTGTATCCCTGCTGCTTAACAACTTGATATCAATAAAAATTAGAATCGAAAGTCGTTTTCCCTATATTGATAAAATCGACTATCACCGTAGACGGTAGAAAAACAAGAATCATTCTTGATCAGATTAGATGTAAGTCTAAAGGGAACTGTTTTTAATCGGACAGTCCATAGAAATTACGCTTCTTGCATCACGTAATTTATTAATAATTCTGGAAAATTGAAAAAAAATTATTTTGCTATTTGATTTAAAGTTTCCGAACCGGGTAATAGATCAAAAATGAATTAACTTTGAGAGTGATAAATTGATAATTAATTTTTGGATTGATTTTTTGTTGAGTAATAACTAATCAATTAATAAAATAAAAAGTTGATGTTCCTTCATAACACACGATGCCAGAACAACCTGCCACTCAAACCTAAAATATTTAAAGATTAAATAGGAAGACGACATGTTGTTAATCATAAAGGAAACAGTTGTACCATTAGCTTAAAATCAACTTAATATCTAAACTGGGTCTGCGAACATTTCACAATTACGACGTTTGTCATGTTCATAGGACTGTTTAAAATAATAATAATAACTTCTTCCTACTCCAAAGTGTTCTGGGTCCTACTTTATAAAATGTCAACACCTTGAATCCTACTTTATAATCAAGGGATATTATAGAAAAATTAAAATGGATTTGAAAAATTACAAATCTGACATATTGAATGTTTTCTAACAATCTGATAAAAACAAAAAAGATGTTGTTGAATCAAACCTCATACTATTATTAAAATTAAAAATACTACTGCTAACCCTTGAGAATCAAAAAAGGTATTGTGCGATAAAAACAACAAAATATAATTTCTGATAAAGCTGATAAGAGACTAGCTTTGATCAATAAGTTTATNTTTGATGAAATCAAAAGCTGAGTATGTTTAGCTACATCTTTTTTCAACTTTAATAACAATTTGACCATTAAAAAAGAAACACCAAAGAACCATTTTTAAAATTTGATTACAGATTTTTAGCCAAAACAACTATTGTAATAAATTGACTCAAAAAAGTGAACAATATTTAAACAAGTTATATACTGCAGAGTTATTGGTTAAGTTTAAAGAATTGACAGAAACCAGTTGTTTTGTATATTTATTTGTTAAAGTTAGTTTGTTCGAAGTTGGTTCAGTCTGTGGTTATTTAATTATTCATGAGGGGCAACACAAGCCAGATATAAAATATTTTAGGGGCCCTGCTCTCTATCTAAACCAGGAGAGAAGGGGGGGGAGAAGAGGTGGGAGGGGGAGAAAGAGATATAAAATA